AAAAATCTTCCTTCACCATAGGAAGCCTTCGCACCTACACGTGTCAGAGCTAGCGTTCAAACATCTGCCCCGGGCGCGAAAACCAAGGCCACGTTTCCCGTGTAATCTTTTGCCGCTTTTTTTTTCTCCCACAATCTGCATCGCGCTTAAGTCCCGAACCCGGTACGCCCGTAGTCGATTTGAGGTGTTTCGTTTCAACCGATACTCTAAGATGCTGTACACTTATATTGAGTCTCTCGTTTTTTTCTGAGTAAATAAGACGCCTACATCAGCCAAACTCCCTACGTCGCACAGCCACGGGACAACCCCCGGGTAATGACACGTTCGTAATTTACCCGAGACGGGGCTTCAGGTTAGTTCTCTTTGGTCGAAATCCGATCCTTAAAGCTACAACGATAACCAAACAACAAGCCTCACTCGAACATTCTCACAGTTTGGATTTTGGGAGGCGACAGATTGATGATGTCAGTTTCCTGTAACATAATTCTTTTATAAGCATGTATAGTACCTAGTCTACGAATGTTTCGGGGAAAAATAATTCTCGTAATCTTGGCAATGGTATCAAATTTGTTGTTTTATTAATCGAAAACGCCAAGTACAATGGCAAGAATTTAACAGAATGCCGACCCTTAAGTGACTAAAATACGAATGATCGTTAAATACTGTAGAAGTATTTTTGTCCTAAAATCAATAGCCAAATAGTAAGATACAATGCAATCTGTGTGTCTGGCATCGGCCTCTCCAAAAATAACTTTAACCACTCAAGCTTCTGAAGGTCACGCTAGGAGTGGAAACACACATGCATCACTTAATAACAAGTCGTCACTGTCAATCGAACATGGCCAAGGTAAGCAGGATTGACAAACGACGAAACACATTACTTATTCATGTCTGATTGACTTCAGCGGCGAGGTTTTCCTGAGAGATCCGAAGCACGTATATAGAATGAAACGACTCGTGAGGTAGGGGTCAACTGTTTCCATGGAAATGAAAGGTCTTGTAAAAGCAAATTTCTGGCCGCTGCAAGGTTTTCCGATCCATAATCTAATCCTTCCAAATGAATTCAACTCTACATTGGCAAATAAACAGTTCTGATCACAAAAGAAATTCCTTAGCGAGTACTTTAAAGTGCTTTTTCATTTGCTTAGAGGGTCTGCATCTTCCACTATCCCCAACCCTTCTCCGTGAAACTTCAGTTTGTCAGCTGAAGCCAAAACGTTCCACGGTGTCTGATGCTGTGCGTGAAGTTTCTCTACTGCTGCGACAACAATCTGATTTGTTCGTTTTGCTATATCCAAATATGACTCATCTCTGTCAAAGAGGAAATGTTTGAAATAAACGCAGTCAAATTAGACCATAAAAGAAGTATCAATGGAAATATGTGTCCCGTTTTTCTTGTTCTCTTCTGGCTGCTCTCATATTGCGACTATAGCATTTTTTAGTGAAACAGTTCTTGCTTCTTTATTTCTATTTATCATCATAAGTAGAAACTGGAAAGAAATATGACAAGAAACCATATCATTCAAAATATAATTTTGAAGAAAAGAAATATGGTGAATTCCGAGCTCTGGCGGATTGACTGTCATCAACTTAGAGTAGGCCCACGTCATACACAACAACCTCTGGTGTTGCATTGTGACGGACGAACTATCTAGTGTGCGTTCTTATATTAGTGCCAGGAAATCGGTGGGTGGGAGTTAGGGATTGTTGGGGGATAACGTGACCGGCTGTGGAGATTGAAGGGGGGGGGGGGTTCTGACACTTTATGACACTAAGGGGTGATTTTTGTTGTATTCATGAACACTCAAAAAAAGGGAGTCTTTTTTTTCCCAAAGTTATAGATACGTCGTATGCAGGGGTGTAAGACCATCAATATATTTTGGTTGTTTGAAAGTTCCAACAATTCTTCACACTCTACCTTATTTCATTTACTCACCAGGAAAAAAGTGGCCACGATACAATATCCCACCAGACGTTTCACTTTTTTTCTGGGGGGGGGACCGACTCGGCAACAGTTAGAAGCCGTAGGCTTAGAGGTTTAAGAAAAGCGAACATTTTATTTAAAAAAAAGTCCTTAGTGTGCATTAGCGACAAGCATTTTAAAAATGTATTCAACTGTCAGAAAGGGTTGACCGCGTGCGGAGCGGAAGTAATAAATCAATGAAGTTCCCCCGGCAAGACCCACCATTTTATATAAAAGACCATGCGTGTTTGCTGTAACATGACGGCTGTGTATATAAAGACATTGATTCGAACAGCGGGTTGGTGTAATGACATTTTGAAACATTGACAATAATAATTTGACCCTTAACAGCATAAGCGCCACAAGAAAAGAAAGCCTACTTGTATAGCAAAATTTGAACGCGCGGTCTTGAAAAGGGCAACGATGGCCAGTGCAACGTTCCACGTTGAAATTTTGTGCCGTGTAATGTAACGACCCACACATCAAACAAACATGAGGGAGGAACTGAGGATGATGGGAGAAAGATAAAACTGCTCAAATTCCAAGACCCCGTTAGTACCTTAAACCGCTTGAAAGAGAGATAAGGTCTCGACGAAGCCGATTCTGATCAAACAGGTGATCAAGCCGAGCATCAGGAGCGGAATGTTCACGGACCATTACAATCGCACTTAAGCTGGCCTACTCAAACCGGATGTCAAGTGAGCGCCTGCGTCCCAGTATTGGTCCGGTGGTTGTACAACGTAAAATGTAAACAGCGAACGCCAGTTCGGTTGCCAAAAAAGTGACATTTTACTTTTCTACTTCTTTTTTTCATATTCTCCCATAGAAAACAAGACGACATCCCATGCATATAAAAACAGCGGCGATGAATTAAGACTTCTCTCCTGTAAACTAAACCACGTTGATGTCCAGGTCGCATTAGGCCTAATGTTTGTGTTCTTAGTTTATATTTTGGGAAAGCAAAAGCAAAGAGGTCTCAGGTTCAAGCTATCGAGTCCATCTAAGACGTTACGCAGGTTTATAAATTTTACAAGTTACAATATGTTAGCGCCGGTGAGCAATCGCATGCATCCATTTAGAGCAGCATTCGCAGTTTGTCTAGTGATCATCATTAGTCTCGACTGGATTAAAAGTCTGAAAATTTGACCAGGTATAACTCCTCTTTGAAAATAAGTTTCAAAGAGCTTGTCCTGAAATCTTGACGAGTGATATTCCCAGAGTTACAAGTTATTTTTCTTGACAACCTTAATATTGGATAAAGATACTCTTCCTTGCCCAGTGAATTCTATTTATATAGTTATGGTTAATTAAGTCTTGTAATTTTCTTCAAGATTCTGAATTTGTATTTGTGTCTTCCAGTTGTTATTTGGTTTATTGCAAATCACATCTATCACATGGTTGTAACTGCTTCTTGTCAACAATACCAGATGAACCACAAATATAGCGTGAATATTGAAAAGAAAAAATTGTATTCAAAGTCCACATGAAAAGGAAACAGACTTGCTTTGCGTGAGGGTGATTTCATCTATTGACCAAACGAGACAAACAAGGGGAATCATTAACTACAATTTATTTGAGTACGAATACCCAAGACAAGGGTAACAAGTGCAGGGCAAAGGATCCCGGACATGCGAAATGGCGCCCAGTGACACACGCAAAAATGACGTCTGGACTAAGTCGTGAAAAGCGGAACATGTAATTTGCTACCTCTTAATTAATTAGCCATGTTCATTTGCTTTCAATACATCAAATCATCTCTACTTCTGTCACATACATTTAATACAAATGTAATGCAAATCTTTCGCTGATTTAATTTGGAGTCTTTTTTTAGACTTTTAAAAATGCTGAGCTCGGTTAAAAGGTTAGTTTTGGCGTTTCCACAAATACAGATACCCAAGTGTCGAAAAAATTAATTTGAGGTTCCTAACTTAATAAGCCGCCCCCTCGAACTGCACATCATTTCATCAGTGTTGAAGTCTACATTGAATTAAAAAAATATATTTAAAAAAGTGTCGACCATTAGAAACCAGACCATGCAGTAGTGTTCAAAGGTTTTTTACACAAAAAGCAGCAATTCACAACAGACCATGAGGAAAGAACCTTTTTACATTAAGCCCGAGTGTAAGTAAGTTACAGTTTTAGAGGTCTCTTGATTGGTGTTACTGTTGTAACGGCATCAAATAAATTTGTCCAGAGTATTTGCAACAAAGGATCTAGCATAGGTAGTCTACGTTTTAGTCGACGCCTGATCTGATTTTTATATACCCAGCAAGAAATGAGACCGAGGGGTACCCCCCCAACATGTCCAATCCCTTTACACATTCCAGACTATTGTTACTTAANTTCTCTCCGTCTCGTACCTTGCTGCATATGTATAGTTTTTATCATTTCTTTCCAGCTGAAGCTTTTACATGTAAGAAGGTAAAGTTGGTGCTTCATGTTATGCCTGGGAAAGCCCCAACTACGTGATAACATTTACTTTCCCTCATGGTTTTATAAAATTTTCGCTGACACATCTACTGCCTACAGCACGCAAACGTTTCATCAGATTAATCTTTTGTCGAGGAGCACAATGCAGGTACGTTCTTTGTTCTTTTTTAGGGAAGCCACGGCTTGGCCGCAATCTTGTTAGCGGCTCAAAATGTGTACAACCAGCCATTCCATTGTTTTTGTGTTTTTGTGGAAACCCCGGAAATAGTCCGGATGTTTTCGCAAGAGCTGTCAATGGTTGTCCGGAGCGCTTGAAGAAAGGATTACAACTCAAAAAGAATGCTAAACAAAATTCCAGCGAAAGAGAAAAGATTATTGTCATGCTCTTTTCTCTGAGCTTAAGCTTCTATTACAATCCACCCTGTGCCTGTGCCAAAGTGTGCAAGAAGAAATACGACCATCAACTCCTGTAATAGAGATACATATGCCTATAGCGGACAAGCGCCCATCGTTCCACTGAAAGGACAGAGTTGGTTCACTTTATCTGCCTGCACAAAGAAAAAATCGTTGCTGAAAAACGAGACTATTGAAACAAAGACTCACCCACCTTTTTATTCTTTTAAAGGCGTCCTGGGTCCTGCTTTGCTGATTTGTATGGCGATGCTGGGGCGTTAAGAAAGAGATCAGTTTGTAGCAGAGGAAAAGACGGTTAAAATGAGCTTGAGGTTCAGCATGCGCGTCCTTATGAGATACACGACCGGTGGTATTGTGGTGGTCGTCTACAGTTGAGTCGACTTATATAATATCTGTGCACATGCAGCGCACTGCCGCCCCCATTTTCCCCACGTGTGGGCAATTACTTTCTTTACGAAAATCTGATAATGTCGACAAAAAATCTTCATTAAGAGAAAGTACAGATTGGTGCGTGGGAGACTTCCCCCTTTCGCTTTTGACCATGCGTATTGGTCCTTACGTTTCCGCCAAGCGTTAGCTTGGCGTTGTGAAATTAAGAAGTTAATATCGTCAACTTGTTATGGAGAGGCATCACCCTCATCTTCGTCATCATAATCCCGTACAGGAGTCCTTGCTTAAGAAACTGATATATATTTCTTCTAATAATGCCACAAGTCACCGAAGTAGCCCTTTGCACTTTTTCTTGTAGCGTTGATATCACGATTTGCATCATTTAATACTGGTTATGATCTTGAGCATTCGCATCAATATCAGTTAATTGCCTCACCAGAGTGTCAGGAACAGGAAACATGAAACCACATTAAATAAAGCACTTGACTAAATGAGTTTTCATCCCAAGAGGTCTAAAGTATTTTCATCAGTCTAAAGTGGTCAGTCTCTCTTCTCTCTTGTTGCGATGATTGCGTTTTTATTGTCCCCGGCTCCATGTTTGTTAATGGAATATTTTCTCACTGGTGCATTTGTGAGAGAGAGAAAAATATGAAGAGTCACCCTTAGCATATTTTGATTGCTTTGCTCGGAAAATTGCAAATGTTGTAGGCCTGAGGTTTTATCATTTCGTCCGGGAGTTCTCCCTTCCCATAGTGATTATTTGTTCAACTGGCTTCCATTCGAATGATTAAGAGTAAATGTTCTGGAAATTCATTTCCTTATTTAATGAATACAGAAAACCAAATTCTTGGACGTGGCTTTCGTGTGGACGAAATCGTTCGTTGAATTAGGTCCGAACAGTTGGTTCAGTCAGTCCTTCAAAAACAGTTCAGACTAGCTTGAGGGATGGCAGGCCTCGTGGTTGCATCGGCACCTTTAAAGTAATTTTGAGTTCTGTTTTTGTTGCGTGTTTGTCTTATGCTTACCTTCCTTATACTTACAAAATCGTTTCATCCAGTGTTAAGCAACGTAAGAGTAATGAGCAATTGATTTTTCAGTTGGGAAATTGCCTAATATTTATCACAAGTTAGATGTGAAGAACGTATCCATAATAAGACTCTTTGGAGCTGAAGGTTAGGGAGGAATCCCTCTGACAAATTCTATTGAATTCAATAATTTGGCAAAACAATAACAGAAAGTTTTATGTCACTACAAGATAAATGGATGAATGGAAATAAACCAAACTGAACTATATTAAACTAAAGTGCATCTGTAATTCTCGTAGATTAGAGCAAATGATTGAATGAAGTAATATGACAGATTTACGCTGTACGTAATTCATTCATAAGTGCACTGCTAATGCTTTCAAACCATAGTGAAATTGATACCTTCAGTCACTGGCATTAGTCGTTGGGGAACAGGGGACATGCCCCCCCCCCTTTTTCTAAGTGGGGGAATACTATATTAATTGTCCCCTGGCCCCGACTTTTTTCCTAAACCTAAATGAAAATATATGCCTTGCAAAGGCATTTTTCAAAAAAAACCTGGCTATTAGCCAAAGATTGTCTCAGATCACACCACGGAGCATCTACCATTTGTTCTTATCAAGGCTATGTCCCCACTGTTCGAAACGGATTGACGCCCTTGCTCCGTCTCTACAAAGAGCAGCATCAGACAGGTCTTGCCTCTGATAAACACAGAGGTGTTAACGTTACACCAAAAAATAAAAATCGCATATTAACAGCATCATACGCTTGATGGTTCATTGCTTCATACTGTTACCAAAATAGACTACATTTCTATAAATTGCCGCCAGAACGCTGGCAACATACACGAAACGGAGGAAAATGCTTGAGAAAATACCGGTGTAGAATCGCCATCCCTTTGTAGTTTATGTCTCCACTTTGAACTTTCACAATAAGCTTTTGAACGTTTTGTTACTACTTTTTAATCTAGACCAAGCTGATCTGTTAATTTACTGCACTTGCTTTTTGCCATTTTATTTATTACAAACCAAGTCAGCCGCAGATTAGACTGTTGTCTGTAAAAGAAATCTTACTTGGAAAGTTAGCCATCTTCTTGCCATTTGTTTTCAATTTAATGTATGGGTGAATTGGGATAAATATTGAGCATACCTCTTCAGATGTCTTGGGCATACTGCTAAAGGTACGGTGTTAGATTGACACCGTGTGGAATCCCTGCTTGAGATATGGTGCGTAATATACTCTCTGAATTGGAAAGAGTGAAATTAGGACAAGACGTTTTAGATTGAAAATCACCTTGAATTTAAACTGAAAAAAGGCAGAAAATAGCTCCCTCCAGTAGAAGCTCGGGTGAAATTTCAATCTTTCCTAGCGAAGAAATTTCACTCCAATTCGTCTGGTCCTTAATTTCAATCGGAGGGATTGAATCTTTACTCTTTGGAATTTAGAGAGTAGATTTAACACTGCGGGTATGACTGTTTAAAAGGGTTTGCGTACTCTTTCCTTATGCTCATTTTGTGTTAATCAATGAACCAAGTCTTCAGTCTGATATAAAATGTATAGTGCTTTCACAGACCATGAGTCTGACAGCGGGTTGTCCTTAGGTTGCCTTTGATTAGACCCTACACATGTGCATTGGGGATACTTTAGTGTTTAGTCAGGAACATCGGGCAAAGTCTACCCGTTTCTACCCTTTTAGACAAAGTCTATGGAATGCCTTTAAAGTTCAGGCAAGGAATACCTGTTAAGGTTATTTGTGCGTTGTGTGTTTCGCCGATAACAGTGACGTAGTTTGAAGCATTGGGTTTACTGATGTTGTTTTCAACGCTGGCGCAGCTCGACACATTTTGCGTCACAATAAGAAACGAAGTGCGACAGCTCTGACGTGTTTTTATTTAACACAATTTCCCGATAACTGAAATTGCCCACCTGGCATATTCAAAACTCCCATGGATAGATATTCCATTTGTCACTGTCGTGGAGTGTAGTTTGAAGATTGTACCATTTAGTGAACAAAAAAGACGACTGTGGCGAGGATTGTGACGTCACTCAACGAAGTAGGTGTCACCCGAGTTTGCATGTATTGGCTTCTCAAAATTATTCCATTGATGGGGATTGCGACGTCATGCGGCAGGAAAGGCATTAGTGTTTGTCTTGTCTGTTGTTGGTAGGGCCACACTGTGTCAGACGAACACTGCAAAAAACAAGTTTTTTCAATTAATTTAACATTCCCGCCGAGTGTTGTCAGAAGACTACACCAAACTGGGTGTAGTCCTACGTTAACACCCAGAGTATTTAAATGGCATCATTTTTTTTTACTTGTCTTGTCTTTTAACCCCCCTTTCGTATTATTCCTTAGGGGAAATCCACTCCGGAAACGCCCGCAGATGTTGACATCACGTAGGTGGGTAGAGGTGCGTGACTCCCTTCGGTGTGCACCTATGTTCAAACCCTGCATGACACTTGAAAAACCCACGAGGCAAACCGATTATGATCAGCTGTTCCGGGTCTTCCAAAGATCTCCTTTGAAAGACTTGCTTGTCAGATCCCATTTATGACATCTTCAATATCAACACGAGTCCAGTCCCATTATTTTCAATTGTAATGAGAGTGGGAAAGAAATTGCAGCCCCACGTGCAGATTTTGTACTCGGTGAATTGTGAATTGAAAACAAAATGCAAGAAAGCCAAGAAACCAACCTTTTGTCTCCAAAGGCAATGTACTTTGAAAGTACGATGGCATCATATTTAGCACTATTACAGGCCTTGTTGATATTGTGGGTCCCCGCAGACAGATTTAATCTCATTTTCAGCGACATGGAAGGGCACGGTTTTAACAAAAGAAACCCATTGAAACATCATTTTTGAGATGAAACATCACCATGAACGTAAGTCAAGTTACAGCCCCTTTTTTCAGTACGTATCTCCATTGAGATCTCCAATTAAATCAAAATAAATCTTACTCAAAGGGGAAAAAAGTGCCAAAGTTTACTGTGCATATTTTGTTGCCTTTCTATATTCATAACATTGTTAAGCCTAACCTTGGATGAGTTGATTACTTTGAGTGGTCAGTGGTCTACTAAAATAAAATGGTCCGTGGATAATCTCGTTCGTGCACAGCTCTCTTTGTCGTTGCTGGGGGTCATTCTTAAAGTGTTGCTGCAAAACAAGTAAAACTAGCAAGTGTCACGTGAAGGGCTCTCAGCCAATGAGGACACAGAATCTGTGGATGGGGGGTTAAAAACAACCCCAAAACACAGTACTTCTAATTTGCTGTTACTACGTGCATTGTGGTATAATAATTGGTGCTTTTCGCTTTTCAGGCTAATACAAATTTTACGATCCTTTACATAGGAATAAGCCTTTGCCAGAAATGTTTTTCATTAATAGATTTGGGGGGTTCACACTGCGAACAGACGTTTAGAAAGTGCACTTCTAATTTCACCTAGCCCCCCAAAAGGTTTTACACGTTGAAACGTATCAGGTTTCATGCAAAATAACTATTTCTTGAACACTTTAACACTGGCCAGAGATTTGTAACATGACTTCAATGCCTATTTCCGATTCCTCAGCTTCCTGTTTAAATCAGCTTCGTTTACTAGTACCTGTGATAAATCTTTAAATCTCGGCGATCCCTCATGCACCAGAAGGAAGCACTATCAATGGAACTGATAAGCAAACCGTTTGGATCGTAATATCATCCGCCAAAATGCAGAGATAAAAGGTTTTTTTTCCCGAAAAATTACTCCATTGAACAGAAATCCCAGGAGTTGAATTCAATGGGAGTAGTAAGAAAAAACATAACCTCCTTAGGGGTCGTCAAAAGTTTTCAACCTTTTCACATTAGTACTTATCAACACTTTTCCACCAGTATCCTGAAATACGAACTCCCGTAGGCACTACATTGTTGGAAAGTGCCCATTATTAAGCATACAGATATGCATTTTTGAAAACCTCCATGTTTTAAAAACAAATAAGTTCAATATGACACATTAGACACATTATCGATAAAGAAACGTTTTTCCTATCAGTGTCGGCAATCCTCAGCGAACTTTCAATTCGACCCATAGAGGGTTGAACATTAATTTCTTTATCTTTGTAGGCTGCATATTGCTCTTGGCCCAACCCTCGTTGTTGTGTTGTTTGAATGGGTAAGCACACAAACTCAGTTATAATCGAACTTCTTCTTATTAAGAAAAACCGTAACCCTGACACAGAGGAAATACAGTTTGCAAATGATTTTTTCCCTTGTTAGGCTGCGAAATCGACTTCGCATTGGGTTTATCTTCCAAGCCCTAACCACAACCTGGCCACTCTTAATGTGTTTCATATCCATCAGTTGTGTTGATTTTCGGTTCGGTGAGTGCTTGTCGTGGGTATGTCCCCGCCTTGCGCTGCCTTGTGACAAATCGTAGGCACCATCGTTGTTCCTATTTTCAACCCCGTGAAGGTTTCGTCGCCAACTGCATTCTTGCGATACACGGCAATTACCTGTAGCAACAGTGGAGCAAATTACAACAAGCAGGATGATATAAACGACTAAAACAGAGACATAAATGAAATGTCAGCCATCACTACTAATTAAATTGTTCGTGTTTCTGTTTGCGATTCATAATCTTTAAAGTAGACGGTGGGCAGGCCTGAGTGCTTAAGGTGTATAGCGCCTCCAATGGTCGAGGAATCCATAACAATAATTACGCTCTTTGATCGAGAGAGGGTGCTATTAACAGAGATAGAGCTGGGAGGCAGGTCAATGTATCTTTCTTTGACAACAGCGCGAGTGTATTTCAGTCATATGCAGTCAGTGTCATGGCATAGTTTGAGACTCCATGGATTAAATAAAGACGCCTTCTCGTAGTGCTGGTTTGCTTCCGGATCCACTCGCAGGCTCCGACCTCATAAAGTCAATTCAGTCAACCTTGACTTCTTGGGCTGCCCGCGCGTTCCTTCAAAGATCACGACGGGCGTGGTGAGAACCAACATAGTGTGGCAAGATCATACCCATGGGAAAGAGGCTGCACTCTAGTACACAGCAGTCGCTTTAGTCGCTATTTGGAAAGTGATGAGGAACACCCACGTTATAGCGTCTATAAACGGGAAAGTTTGCGGATATAGGTTCATTACAAGAGCCTCATGTACTGAGTCCTCGCGAAAAATACCGGGAGTAAAAGTAAGCTTGTGCCCATCACCCACTTGCCGGGTACAACGGAAAAGAGCGATCACGTATTTCAACAGACACCTTTTGCGAGAAATTTCATTTGTGAACTCTGAGCTCCACACCATTGCAAAGTTCGAATTTGTTGTTGCTTTGGAGGACCCTTTCCCCTCAAATTGATTCTTGAAAACTCTCAGGGCAACCCTCTTTTTCCAAAATAAGAAGTTGAATTATTAGCAGTCAGAAATGCTATTGAAAATCAAAATTCAGGAAAAAAATCCAGGAAAAAAATCCTCTGAGCACCACACCATTGCAAAGTTCGAATTTGTTGTTGCTTTGGAGGACTCTTTCCCCTCAAATTGATTCTTGAAAACTCTCAGGGCAACCCTCTTTTTCCAAAATAAGAAGTTGAATTATTAGCAGTCCGAAATGCTATTGAAAATCAAAATTCAGGAAAAAAAATCCACTAACACCACAAATTTCCTGTGGGTCCTTACCTTCGGAAAGAGTAACATGCACAGGGACAGCGTTATGCAGAAGAGCATAAATCCGGAGACGAGGGCAAAGGTCACGCCAGGTGACGAGGCATTAAAGAAAGATAGCGCAGCGGCCACCACACAGCAGATGACGGTGTTATAGATGGACAAGCCCACGTAATGGCTATCATTCAAGCCAGACACTTTGACATTTCTGTGAAACAGATGACTGATAAATTAGGTCATGTCTTCAGACAGTATATAAAGAATTATGAGAAATGATTCATACGGTGATGTGCGTCCAACCGTTTTTTATATTTGTTCTTTGTTTTGTGTGTGTGTGTTTGTTTTCAACCGGAAGTTAAAAAACTGGAAAATCTGTAAGACTCATAAACGCTGAAAAGTCACAGCAGTGATATGTAAGATTTACTTTCTTGTGCGTTGCTCCAGCTTAATGGGAGTCACCTCATGTGCGTTTATGCGTTTACGAACCTTCACAGGAATGCTGTCATCATTCTATTTTGGTAGTACATTATACTCGGAAACGTACCTCAAACAACGTGAATGGATAAATAAAGAATCAACTCATTAAATTACTTACTATCATTCGGCCTGAGAAGGACTTTAAAAAACTGACATATATGATTGATGATTTAATACTATTTGCAACCAAAGGTTGGATTAAGATACACAACACGATCTAAAAACCCTATTTCAAAATACAATATTTCAGTACTCAAGCCTTAATTTAAAATTGCTATATACATTTTCCTGATGCATTAAAATATTTTAAGACAAATAATAATAATGCAACGTCAAAAATGATATTTTATATCATAGTCTGCTCCTCGCCGAGCTCTAATCCACGAAAGGAGAGCCACAATCTGCATAATTTGGCGGGTCCGACCTTCAAGTGGAGCACCAAACAGCCATATCGTTGATAGAGGACATGGGTCACTAGCATTGGCAGATTTTTTCCGGGGGGGGAGCAAAGCATTGATCAGTGTAGCCAGTAAAAAAGGGGTCAGTTCCGAAGTTTTTCCTTTCGAATTGATGATATTCCTCGCCTTCCTCCCTCGCATCGTTTCTCTCGTTTTTGTGATTTATTTTTGTCCGTTTTATTTCACATTATTTCGCAGGTTTTTTTATTATTATTTTTTACCTGGTCGACCATGCCAGAAAGGCGCCAAAGACGACGACAAACGCCTTGTAAATGACAATTATGAGGGTCCATATGGTGTTGTTATTCGACGTGCAGATGACGCGCAGCTCTACGCGCTGCTGGTGGTGTTCCAGATCTTCAACGGTCTACGTGAAACCACGAGAACAGATGAGAATGCATGAATACAGTGTAGTAAAATGGACACATAGATCAGCATGAAGTTTTATCTTTTAATGGAGTACTTATAATTTAAAGTAATCTCTCAGTTACTTGAGCTATGTGAGCTCTGTCTTCCTCGATGTGTATTGGATCGATGATCTGCCAGGGGACGAGTATGGCAAAATCCACCAACAGCAGCACGGCGATGATGCCGAAGAGATAGTAGTCCTTGATGACCTTGTCGATCGAGAAAAAGGGGAATTATCATAGGCGGATCCTAACACTGGGGTGCCTTATTTGTGAAATGTAACGGGAAAAGGGTCTGATTTTTTGAGGAAATCTTATTTCCCTTTCAACCTATAAATGTGTAAAAAGCCACCATAATGTAGCCTCAGCAATCAGAAATGTCACAAAAGTTTACATATTCAAGAATTCCCGAATTTGTTCTATCCCTCCAAACCAAATCCCCCCAAACTGGTCCTGGATTTGCACTTGGAAATAACGTGGACAGTCTATCTTCAATTGGCGTAGATCCCCGGGGGAGTATATATTCCCCACTTTTTGAGGTGGGGGTGGTCTATTGAATTATCATCCATGATACGCAAAAAACGTTACAGCGGATTGTGACGAATTTTCGCGATTTTCCAACATTTTTAATGTGTGCACTAAAAATCACTAAAAAGGGAAATCACTTTTTAAAAAGCCATCAATATACCATTCTGATGTAAGAGTCTACGCAACTTTGATAAACATTACAGATATATATCCTTATCGCGAAATATCTGCCCCCCCCCCGCTTTTCAAATTTGCATGGCCAGGCAAGTCATCAACCCCACCCGCCCTTCAGACGTACGCCACTGCTATCTTTGCTGCTCCTCTGTATGGGATCTTTCCCTTTGTTCTGCGTGCTATTTCCGGTCTAGAGGTGCATAATGCTCTCAGTATTGTTAGAAGTTTAACACCGGAGTGCTACAAATTTACGCGACTCTTTACTATTTGAAAAGGTAGTAAACAATCAGATATACAGATAGATAAATACACTATAGAAAGTTTTTGAGTGACCTGTAGGGATTGACTAGGGTGATAAAGCAAATCCTTTCCTACCTGCTCCCTGCCAGAACAAAGGATTATTTTTTTTGAACAGGGCAATCATTATGATTTCCTTTGGTAGGGACTCGCCGCGTGCGGGAAAAGCTCGCGTCCTCTTTGACACAGGTCGAGCTGAGCACAGGCAAGCAATCTTTGTTCGGAATGTTTGGAATACCCCATCCACCAGCCTCTCCTTTAGGATAACACTATTCAACAAAGCCGATGAGTCAAGAGCTTGAAATGGTCTTTGGAAAACTAATCACCTTTCTCTTGGTCTTGTTGGCGATGACGATACTATACACTCTCCACATCTTGGTGAACATTCCTCCAAACGCCAGAGTGAACGCCACAGGAATTATCCAAGAACGCGTCTGAAACCAAGAGACAACGTTGAAACACCCCATAGGTAGTCCGTTTATCAATTCCGGATATTCAATTACTGTAATAATTCATTTCAAAAAGGGCCTCTTACCCTACAAATAACAAGAAGAGCCTTTTCGTCCACCACGGATTTATCGATGCCGAGCAGAACAACACCGAGGTATGCCGACAGGATACCAATTGCGATGATGTTGTTCACCTTTGGGCTTGACATCTTGATTTGTCTGTAATAATCGAGAAATGAAATTCGTCACTGAAGGAACATTTGGATCTTTGAAATTTCCTAGAAGATGGAGATTACTGTTGGACTTCACAAAAACATGACACTCTGAGACAATGAGCTATGTAGATGACGGTGTTTATTGTCAACCTTGAATTAGTCGATAAATAACTCAGGCGATGACAACTTGGCAGATGCAAACGCGCCGGGCGGTTATTCAGCTGCGGTCTGCCATACTGTTATCCGTGTACTGCCACTCAGCGTCATCGGTCTGGGGCCACTTCTTTACCAGCAACGGGATCTCTTGTCTTGCATCCATCTTGTAAGGATGATTTTATTCCCACGAGAAGGATCAATTATTGTTGGCATTATGTACATTTCTATGCATCAATCATCACCGTTCAAATTTGGTGGTGATTTGGCCGCATGTACTCTAGTAATTGTGTCGTACACAAGAACAGAAGGAGGTTAATCTACGCAAAATGCCTAGAGAGTAAAAGCGACACTAAAACCACATTTCCTGCACGCTCTCTGATTACTTATTTTACTTATTTTGCGGAAACGCTCGTTACCCTGTCCATAGTCTCAATATTTGTCATCACACCAACCTTTCGTTTCGTTTCCAGACGTTGAACACTAGAAACATGACGGCCAGAGCCATACCTAGGGCTGCTAACACGCTCATTGCAGCCAGGATTCCAACAGGAATGCTTTGTAGAAGCTCAATGGTCTCGGTTACGTCTGAATCAAACGGTGGTTCTCCTCCTAAAAGGGGAGGGGCTAGAGTTAAAATGGACCGTTGGCAAACTAGATAACCGGCAACATTGGCAACTGACGTTTCATCAGACACTCTTGATGGCTCCCTTCAATGACGACAGTGACTCCGTATACAATAGCTGCTACAATGCTTACCGTCATTAATTAATGGGTTCTACTGTCAGTGATTATGGCATCATGATCACCGCGTGTAAGAGCAATTCCTTTCTGTCCCTAGTGAAGCCGTACTTGGCCTCTTGATGGCGCTATCTAATGACGGCTTAGTGCATGTGGCTGTTGTGTGTAAAAGCGTCCTGGACTCCTCTAAACGGAGATATCTTTTGTGTCATCAAGACTTATCTTACCACTGTAGTACCAAAGCTGCTCAGTAGGAATATTCCAGGTGATCTCGTCTTGTATGTTGCTGTAAATGCCAACGATAACTTCCACTCCGTCTGTGAAAACGAGGCACCATTTATCATCACTCTGTTCAATACGAGGCTTAAAATTGAGTGACTACCAATCATTTCGAATCTGGCAGCGGGCTACATGTCATGATCTCGGGGCAGGGCTCTAACTTCATTTGCCCCTTTCCACCATTAGACTAGTACCTAGTGAGGGTAGAGATGGTTATTTCCCCGTTATTTAATATTTTTCTTAAATGTATCCCCTCGAAGAAGCTGAGATATGGCTTATGGAAATATTTATGGATCTGATTAACAGGGTAGCCCTAATAGCATAGGCATGAGTGCCTGTAGAATCCGTCGAAATCGAAAAGCGCATATTTTCAGTAGTTAAAATATCAACTAGTCCAATTTTCTTTGAACTGTTTCGAAGTATAAATTACGTCTAAATTTCCTCACCTATATTCTGCTCTATAAGCAGATCACCCATTCTGTCGCCCCCTTCGGAAAACTGTACCGGACCCTGTGAAAATGTACCATTGGAAAGTCTTTTCAAAAATACAACAGAGTGGTCCTCCCAAACTATGAAACCATCACCGATCATAAATGTCTTGCATTTATCCCAATGTATCATTCTGGAATTTTTAGATCCATTTTGCGAGCTGAGGTGACGTAGTCTCAACATTTGTGACTTCTAACACTGCATAATAGATTAGAATCCTGAACCTGAAAATATTGGCAGTATGTCATAAAAGAAAATGGACTGACACTAAAAAGCCACTCTCTTATAGCCGAATTAACTAGAAACTACAGCCAAAAGATACATCTGATATTTAGTGCCCTTTCTACGCAGTCTTAACCAAAGTTGTGGCATCAATGTTTTGACTGTTTTTTCTAATGTTGCATAATGCTCCAGTTTTATTTTAGGCTCTAAATTTTGAATTATTTATCTTCAGTCTCAGAGGCAAATATGGCAGGAGTCGCATTTTGAAGTTGGATTGACTCCTCAGCCTAGGTTTGTGGAATATAGAGCTAGAGCTTGTCTTGTCCTCATCAAAAGCTCGGCTAATTTTGTTTTGCAGAATTTCGCCAGTCGATGTTCCAGCCTTAATGACGAAAATATTAGGCAGTGACTTTAGTGCCATTTTTTAATTTGTCTCTTCAGCACTATGGGAGAAAGAACTCCCTCACTAGTCTCCATTCGATTACCCAATTAAGAAACAGTTCTACACTATTTGCTGATATAGAGTAAAATCATCGGAGAGACTCGACGATCTATCCATTTTGCTGAAAGGCTTTGATGTTATCCCTTGTGTTAGTGTGGATATTTATCCATAAAACATTAGAATTACCGAGAAATTACCAGTCTTTGAGGCTAATAAAGCACCTGCAGAGTAGAATATGAGACCCAAGCAGGACCAAGAAAGCGCTCAGTTTTCTTAGCAACAGAGGCTTCTCTGGTCGGAACTCTGGTTTACGAACAACCATGAAATGTAAGTGATAGGGTCGCGTTTCTACCAACCAAAACTCAACACTCTCGACAAATCTGGCTCTTTTCAACCGATGAGGAGGTGGTTCTGCTTGAGTCTGATACCTTGCTTGAAAAGAATGGAGATGCACAATGATTGATGTATTTCTTACCGACATGCCAGCAAAGCTGAGTTCCCGGATGCCCCTCCCGACCGCCATTGCGTACTCCTCGTCCCCATACTGGTAAGAGTCCAGTCTCCTCAAGAGGGTGGCCTGTGCAGCTTCCAGAGCCAGGGCCAGGGCCCAGACGCCGTCATAGCCAACGGCAACAGAGCCGCGATCATTGACAGAAATGTTGTAGCCCACATCGTCGGCAAGCTCCCGCCTGAATTCCGCCGGAGTCTGCCAAAGATGGTATATAGACATTTATCATAATGCTGTTTGGATTGTCTTGTTTCCTGCAGACCACTGGTAACATTAAATACAACCTCACATGTTGATAAAAGGAACAGGTCATTTCTCTTTCCAGCTTCAGTTTGGCAACATTGCTTTTAATGACGGAAAAAGCAAGATGGCTACCCCATGATAGAGGTACAATCTGAAGTGTGTGCTGCATGTAATTATACAGGTACGCCTGTCTTCCCACGGTGGTTGTTGCATCAATGTGAATACATGAACAGGGCGAGCTGTACAAACAATCCCTTCTTGAGGACACGTCAGACTTGCGTAATAACGGTATATTGCGCTGCGTTGGTGTGGCCTTCGGAAGCGGCTTTTGTTGCCTAGCAAAGTCACGTGCTTGGTCTAAAGATTAGGCTACCCCAAATTGGATCCATTAAAGCGTGTGGAATTCCCAATATTAAGCTGCATAATGTCTTCTCTAGCAAACAAATGTTCTAACACCTATAAAAGAAGTTAAACACTTATTGAAAACGTTGTTCGTCCTATGGGTGGTAACCAAAAATAACGTATATAGGTGTGCATTTCCTACATTGTAAGCGTACTGCCAACGTACGACACCACACTAGCAGTTCTTAACAACGTCCTGTTAATATAACGTGCAAAGTGACATGTAATTCCAAAATAGAGATACCTCTATTTCTAGACAAGCAAATTAACATTTCATATGTATTTCAGATATATCTGTTGTTAACGGTGATATCTTTATTGTTGATAAGAACATCTTTATTTTGTTGGTGACATCTGTATTTCTAATGGATATATATCTCTACTGACAATAGAGATATGTCTATTAATACTACGGATATATCAATTAATTATAGAGACATCTCTCTGTCTATCTCGGGATAAAAGTTTAATTTTGCACGCTACATGTTAAATAGCGAAGACCAGTAATGAATGCATACACTACTTTCGGCTGGCATCGTACGCGTGCTTAACAATGGGAGCTGTTGGAGGGCATACGTTGGTGGTGGATTGCTGGTATAGATAATGTAGAACACTGACGGCCATTTTGCGACAGAAATGTGCACTTATAAAGCAGCAGCTTCTTTGCAAGTTAAGTTGAAGGAACTGTTGTCTCTTGTACCTTATTTTGGAGGATCAACTACACAGACAGCAAAAATGGAAGCCATGTCGTTACCCTGCCACCGATACCAGGCTGATTGCTTCTCCCGTACTTGCTGTAGGCAACGGTCAGGTATCCCTCTGTTGCCCTCTTGAGTTCGTCTGGAGTGCAGTCTAGGCCTTCCTCAGCCGCCATCCACCAACCGTTGCTGTAGTAACCGGGGATCATCCAGACGTAGTTTGGACCATACATGCCCAACTTGAATATCTGAATATCACACAAACGGAGAAAATCGCGTCATGTGCTTAACTATGATGCTACCTTCGCCAACAGAGGTAGTTATATATCAATCCAAAAGAATCCCTTTATCCCAGCATCATTTTGTTCCTGCCAAAAATGTTAGGCCTATAAACCTATCCCGTGACAAGAATAAGGAGCCATACTGCAGTGTCCCCACCACGCGGGTTAACAAAAGACATGCACATTGAATGCGTCTTCATCAGCCAATGGGGGCGCACTGCTAACCAAAATCACGCGCTCGTCGATATTAGGAATACTCGCCTGAATGACGGGGCCACCGCAGTAAAGGCGTCATGGAATCGGTCTATAGATCACTCTCCATACAAATGAGTTATCTGCTGCTTGTTTTACCTCCTATTAAATATTGTTTGTGGGGGTTTGAAGCAGCAAGACGCTCACTGTCTAAGCATAGAGGAAAGACACAGAAGGAGTTGCACTAACTCTGGCACTTTAAACTGTTTAACGATTGTCACCGCCAAGTCAGACGGATAATAGAAAACATTCCAAAAATGCCTGATTACTGCCTGCATCTTAGCCATACAAGCGGGGTCAATAATATCCGAGCAATACTTGTAGTTTTTTCCTTGCAATGAAATACAAATTGTTTAAACGACCAGGAAATAGAAAGAGTAAAATTCCTTATATTGGACATAACTTTGCTATTGTAAATTGTAATGCACTTTTCTATTATCCATGCAAAGCTCGTAATTTTATTCACCTCCATCCAATACATCAGTGTTCAAGGACTTGGTACGACTTTGGCTAAGACTGGCCAACAAAATGTTGACTTTTACTGGAATGCTAACTTCATCAGTAACAAAATGAGCTATTTCATCACAGGGAGTGATCATGAAATCTCATAAAATATGCTTTTGTACAAATGCCATAATAAAAATGGGCCATTTATTCCCAAAATAACTCCAATTGAAAGAGCTCATTAAGGGCAATGACTGCACATATAGATTTAGGGCACACAGCGTAGTGCAAGCAACTGCGCAAGCATTAAATTTGATGTTGCCATGAGATCATACCAAGCACCAACATTTTCTATACCTCAGTACAGGAAATTTTAAGGATGCAGGTTACCCTCGACAAACTGCGGTTCGCGATCATAAGGTACAAAGGGGTTTCGTGATTGTGAAACAGGTGGCGCGTCGCGAGATTTCGCCTAACCTTTCGTCAAGGCCTTCGTGGCTGTGTGTGTGTAACTGCAAAGCGACTGGACAGGATACCAGGCGAGTAGCGCAGCCACGGGGCCTTTTCCAACTTGATTTTAAGGTGTTTGTGGTGAATTACTCATAAGCTTCCGAAATAAACGGCATCAACTTCAAAGCTTACGCAATGTTCCATCTGGTTTTTCACGAGGGCAATATAAGCCGTGAGATGACAACTATGATGCTTGTTGGTGGGGTATGGTGCTGATGTTGGAATAACACTAGCAAGTAGCAGTTCATCAAGGCCAAATGGTCAAAGCAAAACGGAAGTGTTTAAAATATGGAGCTCCTACCATATCCCATGGGTGAAGACGAAAACGTCACGCCGCGTACAGATGCTTCAATAGCCTAACGATGCAACGGTTGAAGTTCGGCAAGGTGAAATTATCCTTGACACGCTCGCCATCTTTCGTATACTTTCAATTTGCATAATAGTTTAATGTATGCTGACCCCATTGCTAATGATTGGTTGGGATTTTTGCTACCTGAATGGGGTAGCAAAGATGGAAAATACAAAGAAGAACTTAAGAAGTTCCTGACCAGTTGGAAAAGGCCCTCGTGCTGAGCCCCTCGTGTACGTGGTCTCCTCTCCAGTCGCTTTGCGGTTACACACACAGCCAAAAAGGCCAAGAAGAAAGGCTAGCTTTCATTGCACTCTGACAACGGACATACCAGGCATGCCAAAAAGCGGTAATTGGCCAGATGTTACAGCCCTGGCAGTTTAAACTCCTGTGTCTTTCCTCTATGGTCTTAACTGACCTCCCAGTGATTAAACAATGATCTCTTGTTTTGACCCGGGTAGAACTGTCTGACCTCAGAGTAGGTAAAAAATCAGAGCCATCTTGGGAGACATTGTTCATTAGGCAAATGCTTACAAGTTGATAACAGCTATAGGCATTTTCCCTCCAGTGTGGTTCTGAAAACACGGCACTGTTTGTTCATCAACGGTAAACGACGCTGTCATGGACTCGCCAGTGGCATGTCTTTCCAAAGTAATTCTCTCCGGAGCTAAGTTTGGGAGGCAGTCCAATGCATACACACACGTTCAATGCCAAACCGCGGTCGTTTTGGAAAAAAAAAACGTGTATTGAACTATATAACGACACAGCAAATGCCGTTGGCAAAGTGAACAAAGAACACAATAGCATTTCTGGGTCACCATCAATGACGGCGCAGTCAAACAAAAAAGGTCTCAGGCCCTGCTACTTAAACTGATTTATTGAAGTATGTACAAAGCGAATCTCATAACATACAATTTCAGGCTAAGCCCGCTCCGCTCATTGCTCGTTCTCATATTTCCAGAGAGACGAATTATACGTCACTGGATCTCTGCTGTAACCAAGGACCAAACAATTAAAATGGATCTCCAAGATCAAGAACAGCCCCCCTCCCCTATCTGCTGCAGTGACTGGGTTTTATTATCAACATCTTGGCAGTAGCCTAATTTCTATGGTCTCGAACATTTCTTATTTGCTTTTTGACAAAAATACTGTATACATGCTCACCAAATTCCTGTGCTTATAGCAGAGAGAAAACAATGGCTCCTTGAAGCAAGAGCATTTTATATAATATTTTAATCAAAATTGATCCAAAAGCGAGCTACCGGTAACGAAAAACTACTCACACTGCAAAAAACCCTCCGAGCCATTTTTTCATAGAAGCTCGCAACGATGACCCTGACGTCCTTACTCTGAAATGGAAACAAGATTTTTCCTGTCATTCCCTGATTTCATAATTTCCCTTAGGGGCAGGGCTGGCGCTACTATCTTCCGTGGCTGTGATTTAGTGTTTGGCTGGCCAATACCAGTATATCCGACGAGTTTTGGGAGGATCTAATGTCCAGCAGTCAGTTGAGAGATGAAGTCTTGAGCCGCTCCCAAGATCTCAGCTGTTCCTAGCTCGGTTTAATATGTAAACTTTTCCTTTGCCCATAATAGAAAGAAGGGAGTTATCCCCTGGCCCTTTTAATCATTTAAATGGCGCTTGCACGCACATCACCTGACATTTGAAACAAGACGTGGGGTGGAGACAACCCCCCCCCGTTTTGGTTATTGTTTGACCCGAATCTCAGGAATTCTTTTCAGGAATTCTTCTAGGGGGGACGTGCATAACAATGGTCTAGAGTGTCTATACGGTTGGGTGGTGCGCGTGTGTGGGAGGTACCCGCCCGTCTCATATTTTGCCAGGTATACGGTCTATTGTTGTGACATCACAATCATATTTTTCCTTCAAGTGGCCAATAAAACTATGGTCAGCCGTCGGGACAAAAGTGAAAGAATGATTCACTAAGTGTTAAGCAACCCACTCATCTGTCAGAAGACCAGATAAAAGGATACGTACTACTAAATATGAAATTTGAAATACAACCCTAAAATCATTGAGATATCTAGCAATCTAAATGTCCATTTAGAACAAATTGGAGGTAAAATCGAAAAACCAGCCAGCAGGTGATATTTCTGTAAACTTTGGCCGCCGATACAAGTTTTAAGGCGAAATGAGAGTTGTCTATAACCGGTGTTATGGTCACGTCCCTCAATCCTTTCATACACCCCTTCATAAGCCTGGTCACAACCATTTTGAAATACATGAGCTAAGGTCGTGTCCGAATTACTTGGTTGTGGCCTGAAATTCCGCACGGGTCTATGGTAGTGGCCACAGACAGTTCCCATAGAGTCGTGTGTAATTTCAAGCCCCAGCCAAAAAACCCATGTTTTTTAAGCACTGACGGCACAATTAGATTTTTTAATCTCAGGTGTTTCCCGCTTCTTCCTGTCCTTGATTTCCATTTGTGTTAACTGTAAAGAACTGATCGTCCTTCAAAGCTGGAAATAGACGAAAAGACATTGTGGGAATGATTGATACAAAGATCAGTGTTCTGCCTGAAACTCAGCGACCAAGGCCAACAGTAAAGATAAATATGTCTGATGCATATGAGACACGGCTCATGGACGTTTTTTTTTCGGGGGGGGGGGGAACCAGGGAATATGAACCCCCCAGTATTAATATGGGAAATAATGATTCGACAAACCGTCTGTGAATCGGTTGATTTCAAATAATAAGAAAGAAAGAGCAGATAACCATTTCTCTTTCTGTGGTGCAAGGCTAAATACAGAATACGGCTTTGAATTAAAAATGTGAATTCGTTTCCTTGAAAATTACTCCTACACAGCCGGCGTATCCGGCTTGTGATGGCGGGGGATTGGCAAATTCAAAAGGAAATGCGGCTTTAGGCTCATTCAACATGATGTTTGGGGGAAAAAAATATCATAAGCCTTCCTCGGGGTCCCACCATACTTGCTTTTATTTCATGGTGTTGTTTTCTTAGGATTTTGGTGTTAACATTTGATCAATCAATTTAGCGATTGCTTTCTCACGTTTGAAGTATTCTTTATTAAAAAAAATACTCGGGGGCAAAGTGCGCCCCTGTTCGATACGACACTGCACAGATGTAACATAAACATTTAATACTTAAACCTGCTTGAGATAAAATGTGATGGCATTGTTGCCAAGCCTCGAAAGTCTCTTTTTATACGTGACTACCATTTAATGGTTTCGTCTAATCCATTGTTGCTGTTTCAGTTGTGTTTATCATATGAAGCAAACTACAGGACAGAGAGAACCCGCCCCCCGCCTTTGTGTTGGTCATTGCTATATTGGTATCTCTGGAATTCTTTTCAGACGTCTATGGGGGTGCAGTAGGCACAATAGCCTTAGGGTATACAGCTTGTGCATCACATGGGCGAGGCCCTCTTTGCCGCATATCGTGCAGGGTATTGTAGATCCCATTATTAGAGTCTGCTCTTTTGTCATCGACGTGGCTGTCGCTGCTTTCAGCGTCATTATTGTTCCTCGGTATCTTCTTTTGTCGTTGCCACTCGTTACCAAGGTCGTTGTTATATCTTGTCTTCGTCTACCCGCAGATTTGTGACTAAATGAAATTCCCAGTTCGCCTCCGAAATGTACAAAATCATCTCCACTGAAGTAACCTTCAGGACACCCTTAAAAAACAAACCTTCGAAAAGAAAACTGCCTCACGTGAAGCATGCGTTCGTGAGATATCAACGTACCTTGAGTCGTTCCATCGCTTCGTACGGGTCCTTGTAGAAGCTCTCGGCAGCGATAATGGATAAATTGCTTGTCGATATCAACCTCTGAAGTTCGTGTATCGTCTTGAAATTACACAAACATCATGTTTAGTCACCGAAATACAGACAAAAACCCTGGGAAATTGACAGGACTTGATTTTAGTGTGCAAATCAACTTGAACACATTCTGGTGTAGAAAACAATACAGCAGCGGCGAATCCAGCTTTTTGGTGTCGAGGGTGGTGGCAAAAGCAACAGTGACTTCAGGTTCGTTCAACATGATGTTGGGGAAGAAAAAATCAAATCCCAAAATCATTGCTGTTATTTGCTTGTGTTATTTTCCGAGGGTTTCGGTACTAATACTTGATCAATGAATATACCGACTATTTTCTTTCCCAGTCATTAATGAAGTTTTCCTATTAAAAAAAATCCGTCAGAAGGGGCAAGTTGCAACCCCCTCCTCGCTGAGTACGCCACTGCAATAAAGGATACTCCTGCTTGTGAACACAAATCGTGCGTCAGCTTTTTCGATATTGACCAATATCTTTCGCTGGTTTTCTTTGGTTGTGGCTAGCTCCACTACATTGGCATCCTGTTTGAACGGGATGGGTTGGATTTGGTAGGGTTGGGTTGGGTTGAGATAGGCTTTGCTTGGCAGCGGGTTATGTCTTGGGTAGGGTTGGGGTGGATCGCATTGGATCGGGGTAGGCTTGGCTTGGCTTAGTGGGTTTGGTTGGGTTGGGCTCATGGGTTTGTCTGCACTGAACTGGGTGGGGCTGGGCTGAAATGGATTTGACAATGAAGAAACTGAGTTGAGAGAGTATTCTAGAAGGTGTATAAACCATCGTCACAAACAGCTTACAGTAACAAGTTGCGCTCAAGAAACGAGGTACGACATCAGAGACAGCACAAACCAGTTTGCCAGGGGGGGTCACTCTTGAACTCACTCCAACATGCGGCTCCGTTGTCTCGTGCAGGGTCGCAATCTTGTTCCATCCGAAGAGGCGGCACATACGGAACTCGGCCGAGGAGAAGCCGGCCGCTGAGGTGATCATGCGGTAGATGTGGGGATACCTCTCTCTCTCACTCAGCACGGGTGTAGTCGCTGACGGTGACATCTGGCAGATATAGAGATCGTGTTCTCAGATAAAGGAAAAATGATACCGCGGGATCCAGATTCAACTCAGCAATGCCCGTCTCCCCTTTTGCGTCCTTGATTGATATTTGGATGGCACACTCAAGCAAAAAAAAAATTAAGTGTAGGCCTAGGGTAATATCTAACGCTATGCAATTGTAATGATGTGATTTACCCACACCCCTGTGCTAATCTGGATATTGTGTGGCGTTAGTTTCCAAAAAGGTATGATTTCATTACAGCAAAGGCGTTGTCCAGCGAGAGCAAAGAGTAATATTGGTCCTTCATGGGTACAGCCTTATTTTGTGTCAATATATTACGAAATTAACTTTCAAAGAAGCTTCGAGTGCATTCTTAAGTATTCTATAAGTTTAGTAAACCTCGGACGTTACCTCAACGATGTTCCATTTCCCAATCACTTCGGCGACTACTTCTGTTAAAGAGGACAGGAACGGTCCGTATATGGCTACTTTGACGGGTGGTTCGTACACGAACTCGTAGAACCTATTCAAGGCCACGGGCATGCTTGCCTTCGAACAAAATTAGACCGAGACCTTGCTTCGTCAGATCACGAAAAGAAGAAGGGAAATGCGAAAATATTGTCTCGTGATATTTTCCAAGGATGATGGCATCTCTTGGAGAATTATGATAAACAAAAACAACTGAAATCAACAAACAAGGACAAGAGTAACAGCCACAGCGCACTGTTCTGCGTCACCAACATAAGTCTTTCTTGCAGCAATATGACGAAAATTGACACTTTTTAGAATAAACATTATTATTAGTAACACAAGATGCGAACAACTGCACCCAATGAGCCCAAGTAGTTAGCTGGACTTAGGAAAGTTTCAAATAGCCAGTTGCAGCCGCTTCAAAGTAGAGACTTGAAGGCTTAACGCGAGAGTAAAATGCATTTATGTTCTGAGAATGTAAGGCATTCGAACAATTCCTCTTTGGTTGTTTCGGGCTTGGGTAGGCCTTTGACAAATTAGACAATACCTTTTTGAAATCCTTTATTTTGAGAAGCCACACAGACGCACTGTCCAACGCATCAAAAACGTGCGTTGCCAAAAATACCAGTGTATATAAAACGTGGCGTCTTTTAATAACGAAGTTTCAGGAAAACGTATCCCTTAATTACGTGCTCTGTCCACAGTACTGTGCAGTCCATCCTTCAATACCCAGCCACAGGTGCTACCAAGAGCAAGACTAATTACCTCCCTAAGAGGGTAGCCTTACATTTTCTTGATGCCCTTCTTTTCCCTGGTACTTCCACCGTGGTTCTCCTGCCAGGATGTTTCTTTTAATTATGTTTAACTTAAATTCCCCTAAAGTTTTTTTTTTTTTTTTTGTGAATGGCGGGCTGATGTGGAGCCCATCTGAGGTTTATCCCAAATACAGCTCCTGTCCCCTTTTAATTTTACTTTGTTTCAAAGTTTGTACCAAGCATTTACACGTCTGAAAATTCGTACATACGCACGTTTTTACCAGTGGCGTAGCTACGGGGACTCGTGCCCCGTTCCCCAACCCTCGCTTAACGTAGACTGCGGATTTTGACCAAACGCATAAAGTGTTTTTACTGTGCTGCAACTTTCAAATGCAGACAACAACGATTTCGACATTACTGATTGTGGTATTGTCATTTTTTGTTCATTTGGGTCTCCTTGTGAAGAGTAAGCCGTCGTCTCTAAATTAGCAATTTGAGACGCACGTGTTACGTAACGAAACCTGACAGGCCGCGGTGTCAATCCTTCCCAATAAAAAAGCAAATGCAGTGCGAACAAGAGAAGAAATCATCTTTACTTTCAAGTGATTTGCTTTTGGGCAAAAATAAAACTAAATTTCAAAGATTACAAGCTATTTCCACAGGTTAACAATTTGTTGCACACTCCTGTATCAAAACGGTAATATTAAATATGTTTTAACTGTAAATTACTTGATGCAAAAGGTGACAGGTAAAGTGCTACCGATGGGAGTTCAAGCTATTCATGGTGACAGACAACTGAAGTGCTTCCGTTTTTAAACCTATTGATTGATTTGTCTTTGCCATTGCTACAAGTCTCCTTGAATTAATTAATACAATTCAAATTAAGGTTCATCAAAAGGATTGTTTGGTTTGTTTATTGCGAGTCTTTTTCATTATTCAGCTCAAATGCGACCTAGGATTTGTTTTAGTACGAGTAGCCTACCTTTCTTTCCCCATAAATGTAACGTGATAAATATAATGAGGCTTGTGATACTCCTATATAAAGCTGGTTTCGCCATTTTTCTCATGTTTTCTGTTATTGCGGGTAACAGGTAATGCTTTTGTGGAGAAAGAATTTTATTTAAAGTCATCTTGCGTGCCAAAAATAAGAACTGCTAAAACAAATATGTTTTTAGCCTACCACCTTGCCAACAGACTGTGACTACATTTAAAAGAAAAATCGATGCAAATATAAGCAAGTTGCGTTCCATGACAGATTAGTCTAGTAGCAACTGTGATCATACTGCGTCCATATGGTGAGAAAATATGTCTTAACACATTAAATGAAGTCAAACGTGTCAATATCATCACCAACGAAAAGCTTAGGTAGCCTCCCCAACCTTGTAAGCAGCCTCCTTCAACTTCGTCTGTGTTGCTTCCACATATTGTTAAGTAAATCCACGAATGAAAAGCTGTTTATGTACAAATTGAGCCTCTGTACATTAACATGACTTTTTAATGAGAATTGACATAAGGTTCCGTATAAATGCACGGAAAAAAATCTAACGGTGTGTTATGTTACAAAGAAAATATTTGATGGGGTACAACAAAAACTTGAGTAGATGTACTTTCCACATAAGTAGCCCCTGTGGTGTCAATTGACATACAAAAACACTGTAAATATACGGCAAATATTTTAACAGTGTATGCAAAATGTTTGCACGCACGTTTGTAGTGACTTTATTGCCTATTATTGGCTTCACTGTCGCTGACCCTTTTTGTCCAAATCATGCGATTGATTTCATGCCTTGCAATGTAAACAAGTAGATTTGGGGATCTGATCGATAGTCCAAAAGCTCAGTATTCTGAGAAACAATTGTTCCAATACTGGGGTATATATTATCTTTTTAAACAATGATGTTTGTAAATCAGATAGATTTTTCGTGACATTATCAAGGTCAATTCATCCAACAGTTGAACAGTATGGTAAAGTGCCATAGAATTTACGTTGACAGAGCATTGTCTTGGCGTGTTTTTTTTATTTATTGACCGGGACCTATCCTATTACAAACAGGAAACCACAGAGTAACCTGCCTTTATAAACTGATATACCTTTAATTAAGATTTTATTTATATATTACATCAAATTACCAAAGGCTGAACCAGATTTTTTTTCATAAGTCAATTCGGCACCTTATTAATTCTGATACTAATAAATGAGACGAATTTGAAATTGCGAAAGTTCACTCTTACTCAGTACATCGCAGGCTCCTGTGTTGCTTGGTAAGAATGAGCCACAGTCAATAGCGAGGAAGTTCTTTTCGGCCTTTTTTAGCCGGGAGGTCTACCGGTATTGAAATGAATAAAACTTACCTATCCAATAATGGCGGCAACCATCTGTTGCATACGATTATACTGTACTTTGTGATTTCCAGTAAAACTGACATTTGTTTTGCTACTGTAACTGCGTTGGACACTGTTTTCCTAGTTACATCGGGGAAGTAACAAACTTAGTTTATCCAAGACTCTGACAAATTGACAAGATTTGTCAAGAAATAATTTTTGGGCGTATAGAGTACTAATATTTTGCTGTATAATGAATTTTCTCAAAATATAAATACACGTGGGTTAAATTGATGCCTTCATGTACTGCCAATTTGTTTGCACACATTAAATAAATTTTATTTTAACATTGCCCTACAAAGACACATAGGGGGTACATTGCAATACCTAAAGACAAAAATGCACGTATTTAGATTTAAAATGCATTAAAACATATAAATTATTACACAGAACAAACAATATTAACAGTTAAGCACAAAATCAGAGGGCAACATCTAGGTAAGTGGGTGAAGCTATAAGCTTTTGTACCCCGACCTGGGACTGACAACGACAAGGACTATACAAAAATTAGATATACAGGAACTGAGACAAGACTTAACCGTGGCTCAATCCATCTATCAATTACCACATAGATAAGCAGGCCAAGACTCCAAGGGTGTTTACCTATAGAAGCTGTTTCTCCAAAGTGAACTGCGTGGGCGAAATTGAGGCAAGAGTCGAAGCTGTCTGACTCTTTGAGTCACAAATGCGCTTCATCTCCAATACAACTCATTCTCAGCATAAAGAACACAATCAGAGCAAAGAACGTGCTTTCGTAATAATTAAATTTTTCAAATATTACTTCTGTGCAAAAATATCACAAGTGCACAATTACTTCCTAATAACATCAGTGGGGTTTACGTAAAGCACCTCCAGGCAATTTTGCTTTTATCAGATTTTATCTGTTTTGTTCTGTTATGTTCTGATTTTTTTCTGTGTCAAAACAGAAGCTGTAACACAATCTATTGGTAAAATCCAAGGCCTCTCAAGTGCGACGTAGAGCTTTCACAGACTGCATTTGCAAAGAGCAGGGCTTCTTGTTCTCGGTAATGCGCGTTAGTGGGCACTTTCAACTCTCAATTTCACATTAACAAACTATCTCGCCAGAAGTTAATTGCATTATAACACCTGGCCCAGTGATTCTGTATCTTGAGTGACGGACAATAAGTCGCATGACTTTAGGCATTTTTGCTATTTTGTTTCTCTTGGCCAAAAGAGCTCATCCGTACAGGGGCAGATATCAGAACTTCTTAGGGAGGAGTCAAACTGGAGATTTATTTTTTAATGTCTCATATTTGGGGACAAACAAAACGATGATGAAACATAAGCCATGACAAGCATTGTTTGCAACGGCAAATGAGCAAAACAGGCTTAAAAAGATATTAATCAAGCAATGCCCTTACTTTTGTTCCTCTTGATCATCATTTTTTAAGCCTGTTTTGCTCATTGCTTTTTTGCTCATTCGCGCCTGCCGTAACAACCAAAGAATTGCACAGTAGTTACTCAAACACTACATGCATGGCCGTCGATATTTGTGTCCAACTGCGCATTGCTGTACGTGTTGTTGGTTGCGCGCATTCCGATGTGCTAGCACTACAGTGCTAAGTTCAAATATTTCATGTCTGAAAAAATAGTTTTCAACAGGATTTGGTAATCCAATAGTCGTACCTTTGGCATGTGTTTAAATCAAACTAATCCGCTTCACTGAAATCAATCAAAATGTGCGGGTATCAACTCTCAAAATATCGAATCTTCTTTTCGTGTTGAAGAAAAACTAACAACCTTCAAAGTAATCTGGTTAGCATTCCATTTTCCTAAGGCAAATTAGCCCGTCATGTTCATCCTGGGGGGGGGTGGCTGTTTAACTGCACTGCTCGAAGCAGTCAAAATATTACACTGCGAGTTTACATTAAGCAAGGTAGTATTGACTAGTTCCTGGGAATAAAGGATGCATCCGGGAAGAATTTTTAAGGTGTATGCAACTTCCATAGATTTTTAGGAAAGGACTGCAATGCATTCGCGTTTAGTTGCTGATTGGATTTTTTTCTCTCTTTACGAGTGAACACAAATGATTGATACATTGCTCACTGCATTTTGTGCATGACTAAATGAATTACAACTAATATTGACGCAAATGCCATAATCGAAACACTCATGAGAAAAACGTTAACGGGTAACACTACTACCTCAAGCTGGTGTTACTCGAAATAACTGTTACAACCTGTTCACCACGCGTTCACACTGGAGCAATAGGAAGCAACGCGTGGACAGTATCGCTACTGGTCCCTTCATAACTTCATATTTTTTAATGGGAGTGGGAACCAGTCTAGGTAGTTGGACACACTTCCATGCTTTGTCTAAATCTTTAAATATGTTCAAACAGTGCTCCACAACGTCTACAGCCGTATGCTGTCTAACCCAGCTTAAAATTATATGCTTAATTACCAATGTCCATTTTTTTTTACCCTGGGGTAACCAGGCTTGAATAAAGGCTATAATCGTCGCTTTGGAGGTTTTTTTGTTTTCTCAAAGGGAAGTAAAGTCCGACTTTTTATCATAGGAAGCCCCCCCCCACGTGATGTAAAGACTCTCTTCTAAAGACTTCCACTAAAGTCATGGTGTATCCTGTCGCCTGCTGTATGAAATGAGTTGTTTTCCAAATAGCTTAAATACCTAATTACGCGATCCTTATTGACACTAATTTGTAACAACTTAAGTGTCAATGTAGATTCGTAAACCCCCGCGCATTAGTAACTCCAATGGTGCGATCTACATCCTAACTGTACACGATCTATTCAGTACAACGCTGCTTAGAGCAGAAGGTAATTGTTATGTTAATGCTGCATACACGTTAAAAAATGAAACGGCTGCGCAGAATTAAAGTACCGTTGTCGTCTGTAGGTACGGACTTATATCAAAATAAACAGTCGGCTTGAAGTGAAACCCTAACTTCGAGCCGAGACCATTTTCTATGCATCAACTTAGATTCTGGCCTTGGGTCCATCTTCTAGCCAAGAATAACTGCCAAAATCTATGATCTGCCAGCCACCTGGAAATCTCGGCTGCAATTGTTTGGTTCACATTGTGATGTTCACCCGTCCGAAAAAGCTTATTCTGAGCAGGTAGATTTCTGTCAGAAATTGGGGAACGAATTTTCGGAATTGAACACGAGGCCAACAAATTCTTGCCCTGTTGGCAAGGTGTGAAAACAAATCTCTTGAACTTAATCTTGTTTATAACCGTTCACAGTTTCCTCCATGGACAGATAACACAGCTTTAATTCCATTACTTGGCTGCCTTTAATGTCAACGGAAGCACGTGGCGACAATGCTGCATTGGTAGGCGTATTGCTAAGTGTTTCCCCTGAGCCATTATATGACACTAAAATCTCATGTTATGATAAACACACAAACCAGAGATGTCGCAAGGGTTTTGCTGCTGTTGCCTCCATGGATCATATCGTTTGTTGGCTGTTTCATGAGAAATAGGTCTTGATAAATGACACTAATTGTGAATTACTACGTAAGGTCAAAGATGTTGGAATGTGGAGTTCATGGCATGTCTCATTGCCTGCAGATGACAATGTAGCTCCCGACGATCATTTGCAGGGTCAGGGTTTTTAAAATGTTTTTCATCGTTGCTTTCCTTTCAACTGCTAAATCATTTCTGACGTCAGATATCAGCACACCGAGGAAGAACTGGCGTAACGGTTTTCTAGCCTTGTTTTTTTTTCACAAACTGTCCTTACCCAGCACCGCGTGCATGTGGGCACATGAATCCCGTTATTTTTTCAAATGACGGGATCGTACAATACGTTCTGAGCGGAGCATGTACCGAGAAAACCAACCTCCTAAGAGCGGAATATTTTATGACCGGTAGGTCGTTGGTTTGCATCATGGTCTCTGCTACACTGCTGATCCAAACAGACCGATATTTATTTTTTTATTTATTTGGTTTCCATAACCAACAGCGAAGAAATCGCCATTTACAGGTTAGGTATTAAAAATAAATGTAAATGCAAAAGACAATCACTAAATCTAATTGCGATAAAAAATAAAAATGTTCAATACTTACAGGTTTCATAAAAAAAGTTAAGCTCTCTTTCATTCCCGTATTACATTCACAATGTGGCGATTGCCGTACTACGGGGATGGGTAACACGGAGAGTTATTGGTTTTGAACTGATATCTTTAAATACCTCTGTATCGGAAACGTTCAAGATGAGAGTGTAGTTTGTCAACACATCGTCTCTGTTGTTGATGTCCTCAATTGCCTGTCGTGCACCCACCAAGGCGCTGTGGCCGAAAAATCGGCTCCAGCCGTCCTTTTCCGACAACGGGAGCAGCCCACCAATGTGCAGGGGTGTGCGTTGAGCGGGCACGGTACAACCACTGTACGCGAGTACCGCAAAAACCACTGAAGTCTGTAATGAAACACACGCCAGCATTGTGTTCGTTCACTCAACTTTGACAGCGCGAACACATAAGACTATTTGAATTAATGAAGTTTAAACCGCTTTAAAAGGAGGGCTCATCCATTACACTTGGTGCTGTCAGCCCGTGTGGTTTTACGATGTACTGAGCATGCGTGTCAAGGCCCACGTCCCCGGGAATTAATTTGAGAAAATGCAAAGGAACATGGCTATGTACAAACCTCATTTCTCCACCCGCAAAATGGATACTTTTAATTTGATTGATGATATATTTATTTGATGACAGATACTCAAGGTGCAAATAAATATAATGTACGTGGACATAACGCATGCAGAGTGATGCATTCTCAAACATTACACCAGAATAATTAGGTACTGATGACATATTTAAATAAAACTGAACTAAATTTATATTTTGTGCCAATGAAACCGCCGTTTAGTGATTCACCAATATCCACAAAGAGGAACTACAAGCTTTTTAACATTTAACAAACCCAGAGATCCTCGTGGATCACTTCGTGTGACACTGCCTTTGTCAGAGCAGCATGAAATCTGAAGCTGGATCTAAATGAAGGGATATTTAATGCGTGCGAAAGCAGATTTCCTTTAATGCTGCTGATTCTGCTCATTGGACTATAACAACCTTTATACATGCCTACATATTTAAATATGAACATTTGAAGTGAAATACGAAACCCATGGCATATCATGTTTCTTAAATACATTAAAATACTAGTACGAATCCGACTTTTTATAAACACAACTCTCTTGAGTTATACAAGGTAAATGCGGGTTCTTCAGTCTACTGGGAGCGTAACTACTGATGTCTTTTGAACATTCATGGACCCAGGTGACCTGCACCCCCATGAGAAATGAAGAAAACAAGTGCTTTCGGTGTATTTCCTTTTCTTTCAAAGCGTACAAACTCCTAAACATTTAGTTTTACCAAACACAGACAATAAAACTACTTTTTTTTTAACTACACAGCAACTGAACTCTGGTGTTAAAAGTAGCACCGACGGTGTACAATTTTATTATTTGCTTGTGTTCATACTGGGAAGGCTTTTGATGTTACACACCACCAGGCAAAGAATTTTTTTTAAAAAACGTTATACGAGTTATGATGTTCCTTTTAACACCAGAGGGGGAATACACGTATTCCAAATTGATGTCTATTTTGGGCAAGGTTTTTGGTGTTTAATAACACCATTTTTTGTATTTGACTTAACAACAAAAACACGGGTAAAGTAGGTCCCAAGTGGCGTCTATTTTGTTTATTTTGTGTTTATAAGTGAATAATTCCCCTTCTGTGTTAAACTTGAATACCACATTGGTGTAAAATTCTTTTATTTCTTTGCCTGGTGTTGTTTAACACCAAGAGGATTGCCCTAAATCAACATCAGTAAATGAAATGAGCCTACGCGATCGGTTTTATTTTAAATACAGGAATTTTTGCGGTGTGGACTAATGTTTGACCGTTGGTTTGCAGCCCGTGTGATTGTTGATTGTACCGAGGTAAAGACTTGATGCAAGACGGTTCATCGCGTGAAGTTTTCGGCCTATTCATGCATGTTTTGACTTTTTATCATCCCTGCTAGGCTGAGAAGGTGCCAACGGGGCATTCAGGCTCCCCACTGTTTTGTGTTCTGATGACTGGGATGGCCGGAACCTAGCCTTCGATGTTGGAAGCAAAATTTTCCTTCAAGTTTCGCCGTTTTTGTTTTCTTTAACAATAAAAAAATAATGAAATGATGAAACTTGTTCGTGTAATTCGGGCGATTCACAATAGTGCACCTCCAGAGTTTGAAGTGCGTTGGCCAATCACAACGCGCGAAATCTGTCGACCCTTTCCAAACGCGCATGGGGTCGACAGATTCGCGCTTTGAGACTGGCCAGCGCGTTGCAAACTCTTGGGGCAAACTAGTGTGAAAGGGCCGTATTTGAAAGAGCACCAATGATTTAAAGGAATGTCTATAGAAGGATGCAGTTCTGGAACGGTTTCAATGACTCTTTAGATCATGACCATGTTTAACTGTCCGAGTTGGAAAAAATTAACGACTCAACTTTTAGAGACATAGGCCTATAGATATGCTTGCCTGTGCTTGTTCATAGGCCTCGCCTTGGGTAAAAGATAGTTTTGCTAAACCTAATTCAGAGCAAATGAAAATGCTTTGAAAAGTTTAACAGGAATTAAACCCATCATATACATGTTGTCAAGTTACCAAAAACTTTAATCAAAGTTCGTTTTAACCAGTGGAATATCGATCGGCATCAATTCGTGAAAACTAAGACGCATGGGGTGCGCGCTACAAGTGCTTCACCGCAGTGCCAGTTCGTGAAAACAAAAATAACTCGGTCCTCTAAACTGTTCACAACTGAGATCACCTCGCGCATGACCGAGTATCAGTTCGTGGTGTCGGTGACGATAATTATATATTAGCATCCTACTTGTAATTGTGATTCCTACAAGTTTGTACAAATAAATGCTGTAGTAATGACACTATCGAATAAATACCTCATCTTCATCTCCACGGATCACTTAATACAACCTCAACATTTATCAAAGAATGGTATCTCCAGACTTAAACGCATGATCAGCTTTAATAAGCAAGGCTGTGATGTACATTTAATCGTATTTCCGCCATGATGACACTAAAAGGTATTCCAACGCCTCGTACGCGCAATATCGACAAGGCAATATCAATTGTTCTATCAGATTGAAAACAAGTGTGTGTCTAGCAGGTGACGTTGAGTACGCCATAATGTTCACACACAACAGCACTATGCACCAATGTCTACAGAAATAGACCTTTGATTGAGTTGAGAGTTGTGAGGCCTCAGCTGGACCAGAAGAGGGTTTAATTTTCCTAGGCAATGGAGGCTCCTTTGGACAGAACTTCACTTCGCTGGTTCACAAACAACTATGAAATGGTATGACGGATGGGTCGCTACCTGCGAAATGAACACTCTCACGACCAACATGGCTCTTGTCAACCGTTGAGGGGGTGTTTCTGATCAAGGCGGATAAGCTGGGATATGTTAGAGGTAACAACTTCAATAAATGTATGTACCACGTGATACCTCTTGAAAGACCAACATTCATCTGATGGGATTGAAAGTTGTTTGGTATATAAAAAGGGGAGGGTTTCCGGCAAGACTTGTTGCTAAGTAATGGAGACGTCAACATCATGTTGCATCACCTAAATGTGTACTGTTAAGAAACCAATATCAGAAGAATTATAGACACCTAGGGCCTATATGTGATCAGCTTAAAAGACGTTACATCAAATGTCATCACGATGACGTCGTTAATAATCGCATAAATCTATACGGAAAGCGCTCTTTTCCATTGACAATGGAAAAACCACATCTTTTCCCTTACTCTTCAATAAAAACAGACAACAAATCACTTCTGTGTTTGTTGAATTAGTGAACACTCTTCTGGATTTGTTTGCATTTTAAGACGTTTGGACCGGCCAACAACCGACGATGTCAACCAGACGGTGCTTAAGATAAACCGGTTATGCCACTCTTATGGTCGGCGTGGTGAGCACTGATTGTGGGTATGTCCGCGCTTGGCGCTCCCTTGCGGGCCATCGTGGCCACCACAGCCGTTCCTATTCTCAATCCAGTGAAGGTTTCGTCGCCAATGTCGTTCTTGCGGTACAAAGCAATCACCTGGAGTAATGAAGCAATAGAAAGTCATGCAATAAACCTCAGCAATAAGCCATTTGCGAGTTTAATTTGAATAAAATCTGGTGCACTGAGTTATCTGACTGCACACAAACATAACAATTTGAATTCCCAGACTAAAGACACTGTTGCTATACCTCGTGATTCGGGGCAAGCTTTCGCATAGCGACTACCATCTCTGGAATGGAATGGTTCCTTTGTGCCCTTCTTAACCACTGAGAACAGCGTATTGTTGCAAGGCGTCCCTCATGTAACTCAGCAAAAGCTTGCCCCGAATCAAGAGATATAGCAACAGTGGTTTTAGTAAGGAGAATTAAAGTTGTTACACTTGAATTCAAAGAACTCAGTGCACCAGATTTGGGTCAAAGTTAACTCGCAAAAGGCTTATTGGATTTTGTGCATAGCCTAGAGAGAGGCTGCTCAAACGCTTTGGTGCTGGGCAGTCAGTGTTCTAATATCTTCATTGCGTGGCACAATCGTCCGTGGAAGACGTCAAAACCATCGCTGTTTATATAAAGAGAGTGCAACAGGAGTGTCTCACTTGTCGGAACCCAAATGGTGTATTATGCCGTCAGTACACATGGACAATACGGGCGATTCACAATAGCGCGCCACCAAGAGTTTGCAACACGTTGGCCGATCATAACGCGCGAAATTTGTCGACCCTTTCAAAACGCGCATTGGGTCGACAAATTTCGCGCACTGTGATAGGCCAACGCGTTGCAAACTCTTCGTGGCGCACTTTTGTGAAACGGCCGTATTAGCACACAATAGCTTCATGCTTTACTGCACACGTAATGAACAACCTTTGGGGTTCCAAAGTGTGTGAAGTTGGTGCCACTCTTTCAATACAAATACAGCAATGGGCTGATGCCTGTACATAGTAAAGTGCTGCAGCCAAAGGGGTAAAGGGGCGAATTTAACACGAAGAGGTACCTCAAGTCAAGTCATTTTGAAAAATAAGATGTTCTACCAAAAATATTATTCAAATATTTTACTGAGTGGAATGTAAAATAGATGTATGTATATTCATGTACTGTATACCGGCTAATTACATGTAATTATTCATAAGAATGGCCCATATGAATCAAATGATTTCTCTAGGGTGAAAGCATGCTCATTTTACGGAATATTGTCATTGGGGGATAATATTACCCAAGCCGAAACAGTTAATGCAAAGACACTGTTTCGAGCTAATTAATTATTCATATCCAGCTAATTAATTGTTCATAAGTGCTACTAAAATGCATCAAGACTAGTGATTTCCCTAGGGTGAGAGCAAACTTATATTCAGGGATCCAGCAAGGTTATATAATCTGAGGCAGACAATAAAATGGTTCCCTAACTAGTTGCAGTAATTGTTCAGAACTAGCAAATTAATGATTGATAATCACTGCCAACGTGTGTCAAATAGTTTTTCTGGGTAAAAAAAACAGGCTATTGGCCAAATTTCAATCGAAGATCATTTTATCAGGTTATGAAATCCACAACTCACAACAGACTGGCTCTTGGTCTGTCACTTAACATTAGACCAAAGAATTGACTACACATATACAGACTGTATATAAAATGGGGCATGTAAGTACTGGTCCGGTACTTCGGGACAGTACAGGCTTGAAGAATCATAAATTTAAGAACTGATACACCCGACTGATCATCTTCTTCTTGTCTTACTCAACTTGCTGCAATGGGGAATGCTCTATTCCGAGCCTGTATCGTCATCTTTACCTCTGTCACTGTCGTTACTTTCCGTCTCTATGTGATGATTGGTGCATTCGCAGCATTGACACAATTCTGAAGTGCTTTCTTGCAGAAGCAGCGTTTAGAAATGCACTGTCCTTTCTTACAGCTGCAGTATACAAAGCCCAAGACGGATGCAGGGGAAACAGACATTCTAGACCAATTGATGAGCAGATGGTCATCCTTTAGAATCCAACCGTGGAGGTCTGGTGATGGTGGACAGATGTTTTGCTTAAAACACGACTTGTGAATTTGTGCCTGCTATTTGTATGCATGACGTAAAGCTGCTAAATGTCCTTGTTTGGTGGCAAACAGGTTTCCATCTTTACACAGTGGGAGGTACTGTGGCGAGCAATATTTACATCGTTGCAGTCTTTCCACCCATTCAGCTCACATTAAAATGACTCCAATGTGCTGAGTAGACTCTCTGCTACAGCCCATGCTGATCCAAGCTCGTGAAAGGCAACAGACTGATTGTACTTCTTTGCTTCAAGTACCAGTTTCTGAGTACGAGACACCTTTCCTTTTTTTTTTTGAATGTACTCACGGTACCACAGCCAGTGAAGGCATGGAAACAGAACTGGTGCACGTTGTAACCTGAGTTTGCTCATATCTTCCACTCTTGGATGCGTTGCAATAGTGAGATGCAATATGATGCGTGCCATCAGTAGTAGAGAAGTTACCTAGATGCCAAGGATGAATACATCTGTATCCGGCAATCGGATAATAATGTCTATCGGCTGTCCATCAAGTGACTGATATGCCTGCTGAGCATGAAGATACATCCTTGTAGCAGCCTCATCGTGGTCAGAATGAAGTTCTGGGGTATCTTTGGTAATAGTTGTTTTTTCATAAGTCAAATAAAACTTGTAGCACAAATTCCCACAGCAAGCAAACATTTGAACATCCCTTAGTACTTCTGGCCGTGTTTGTTTCCATTCCGGAACGATGAAATGAATCTCTTCGAACAATACTCACCTACGGCTCTCCTTTTACGCTCACTGCTTTTGATGAAGAGATCTCTATACC